AGAAGTCGTTAGATGGCTTTTTTGATTTTTTAAAATTTTCCTCCAATGATCAATATTATCAATTTACCAAATTTTCCAAATATCCACGAATTTTTCCTATACGGCTAACCAAAACTACAAAAATGATCGTAATGGACACAATTGGAGGCTTTTTCAAAAACTGCTCAAAGAAAATGCTATAAAAAATAAAAAATGGTGGAGGTCCATCGATTGATAATTTCTTGTTTATTGATGTTGTTGATGGTTGTTCATGGATCACACTCTTGCTTATACGATGCAAAAAGATAATCTTAGGAAACATTCCAGAGTAGTAGTGATATGGGTGGAAGAATCCAAGCCACGGGAGAAGCTCTGGTGAATCGAGTTCAAGGAAAGCCTTATAGGGATTCAGATTTTCACTATTTTTGCTACTTTTACTATCTTGGACTTTCGAAAAACCTCGATCTAGTATCTGGACTTTACAAATATATTTCAAGTGTCCAAGCTGCAACTTATGACATTCGTTCAAAACAAAAAAAGCTGAACTGCCACCAAAAAATTTCGATCCTAATCTTCCATCCCATGAAAAAAATCCAGAAAAGCTAAGGGAGCCGTACCTGAGATGGATATCCAACGTTGCACCTTGACCGTAGCCGATCTTACAAACGTTACAGCGAAACGGCTTCTTTTCGCCTGGGCTTGATGGATTCTGTAGAGCGGCCAGCACCTAAATGAATCTCTTTAGCATTCATCATCATATATAATCCTTCTGTTCCAAATATGGTAACCAGCCATAGTTTGAAGTCAGTCCCTCTCAAACAGTCCGTACGTGTCCGTAGTTCGAAATCAATTAATATCACTTCAATACACGCACTCATACCTGAGCACAATAGAAAAGGTGCGTTGTGTGTGTACGTGTGTGTATGAGTGTGAGTGTGAGTGTGAAGGGGGAGATTAGCGAGCTCGCTGCCGTATTCATAATACCGAGGCAAATCATGATGGAATTAATTCCGATTTCCCATGATCAAATGAGAAGTGTATGAGGGGAAAACTGACGCGAACTGCCCCAATCTGATGACGGTATACGGTAGACGCGAAAGCGATAGAGGCGGGAAATGGTGAGAATATTAGACAATGAGAGAATGAGAGTAAGAGCTAACCAGCCAGCCAGCCCGCCAGCCAGTCCGCAGCCGACCAGCAAGCCAGCTAGCCGTCGGCGGCTACGGAAAGGGATAGAGACCGAGCCAATAAACAGGTATTAGCTCTGTCACGATGCACGATTCGCCTATTATGGA